TCTGAGATCCCCCCCCCCCCCCCCCCCCCCCCCCCCCCCCCCGCTATCAGGAGACACTTTGGCTGCACCTGCTTTGGTCAGACCTCAACTGGAAGACTGTGTCCACATTTCAAGAAGTATGTTGACAAGTTGATCATGAATTACACAGGGCTAAGGCCTGTCTATAAAGCCAAGTTATTAAACTGTTCCAAAAGGCTTTGAGGGTGGGGGCGGTTAAGCTAATTTCTCTAGGAAGGATATTCCTCAGCCAGGGGGCCACCACCAAGTATTCCCTCTCTCTTATGCCTAGCAACCACGCTTGAGATAGTGGTGGGACCGAGAGAAGGGCCTCCCTGGCAGATCTCAGAGACCACACCAGTTCATAGAAGGAGATGTGGTCTCGAAGGTAGATTGGACCCAAAGCGTGTTGGGCTTTATAGGTAATAACATGCATCTTTAATTGGGCTTTATAGGTAATAACATGCATCTTTAATTGGGCATCTTTAATTGGGCCCAGATACTTATTGGAAGCCAGTGGAGCTGCTTTAATGGGGGCATAGTGTGCTCCCTATAACTATCCCCAGTTAGCAATCTAGTTGCTGGCCTTTGGACTAACTGCAGTTTCTGAACCATTTTCAAAGGCAGCCCCACATAGAATGCTTTACAATAGTCCATTCTGAATGTAACTAAGGTGTGGACCACCATGCCAAGTCAGGCTTTTTAAGGTATAGTTGCAGCTGGTGCATTAATATATGTGCAGTGCACATAGGAATTCGTTCATGGTTTTTTTTTTCAAACTATAGCCCCGCCCCACCCAACAGTATGGGGGGCTGTGAAATGGCCCTTGGCTGAAAAAGTGTGAGGACCCCTGGTCTAAGAGGAATGGAGCTGGGGATGTTTAACTTGGAGAAAAGAAGGCTGAGAGGAGATATAATAGCTATTAGGGCTGGTTGATCAAGAAAAAATTTGGTTCTAAAATCGATTTGTAATTGGGGTGTTTTTTTGTTTCGATATTTAAAATAATTACAAAACTTTCCCAAAAAAAAGTTTCAGTATTTACGAAATTTCGTAAATATTTACAAAACATTTTGTAAAGATGGCGGACCCCCGCGCATGCGCAAAACATTTCCGAAGCTTCGTTATTGGCGCGGGGGGGCTCCCTCAACTTGCTTCTAAAAGGGGGATGGACTGGATGACCTTTGGGGGTCCCCACTGGGAGTTGAACTCCAAAGCCCTTAGAGGAGGAGGAGGAAGAGGAGGAGGAGGAGGAGTTTGGGAGTCCTTGGTGAAGATCAGAGGATGCTTGACATGGGAGGGAGGAGGGAAAGGGGAGAAGGAGGGAGGGAGGCAAGGAGGAGGGTGGCCTTGGCTGCAGGGGAGCCTGCACCATGGAAGAGCCCTGGGCAGGTGCCAGGAGCTTCGAGGGCGGGATGACGCAGGAAGGGGGCATGATCCAAGGGAGAAGATGCTCGGAGGAGGATGGATGCGTGGATGCGTGGATGGAGGGAGGATGGAGGCAGGCAGGCAGGCAGGCAAGCGGGTGTTTCCCTCCTTCCCGCTCTCACCGGTCTCCTGCTCCCCGAGGAAGGCATCCTCCTCCTTGCGGGAGCGGAGGCAGCTCTCCGAGCCCCCTCCTCCTCCTCCTCCTGCCACCGCCGCCTCCTCCTCGGGCAGCCGGGGAAAGCTGGTGATGCTCATGTAATCCACGGGCGAGTAGGCGCCCAGGCTGCTCTGCTGGCTCGCCTCCTTCTCGGCCGCCGCAGCCGCGGCTGCAGCAGTCGCTGCGCTGCTCGCCATCCTTCTGCCGGGAAGGGAAAGCCAAGCCAAGCAAGCAAGCAAGGAGGCAAAGCGCGCTCGCGGGGGAGGGGCGGGGCAAAGAGAAAGGGGCGCCGGAGCGCCGGATTCAGGCACCAGCAGCATCCTCCATCCAATTTCCGAAACGGGCGGAAACTCGTTAAAAGGATGGGGGATGCCGCCTCGTTATTTTTAAACCCTTCCGGGTTTAAAAAAGTGTTTTGTTATCGTTTCGTAAATGCAAAAATTAACGAATGTTTAACGAATTACAAAATTAACGAACGAAACCGCACAGGCCTAATAGCTATGCTTAAATCTTTGACAGGCAGTCACATTGAGGAGGGGGCAGGTTTTCTGCCGTTCCATTGAGCAATGGGCTTAAATGGCAGGAGGAAAAGATTCCACCTAAACATTAGAAAGAGCTCCATTGAGCCATTTTTAGAAGATTTTTATACGTAGGCCAGGTTGTCCAACCCAATAATCTTCTCTGTTTGGCTTCCATAGGAGAGATCCAAAGGGGGATTTTTGAGTAAAAATATTTTTTGTATCTATCCCAAATTCTGATTAGTGATGAGCGGATAAAATGGTTTCCAAAATTTCTTTCCTTCTGTTCTCTTCCATACCAGAGATAAGCATGCCATCCTACGCGTAGGTCATGGCCTTCTAACGTAAGCAGATTCTCTCTTTTTAATGCCACCCAATTCTTTAGCCAAATTAAGGCACTTGGTTCATGATAAAGTTGAAAATTAGGAAGGTCAAAGCCTCCTCTTGTTTTTTTATCCGTCAGCACTCAGGTAGAAATAAATCAGAGTTTCCCTAAAATTATGTGGTTACATTACTTACAAATAAAGGAACAATATAATCAGGAGATAAAACAAGGTTTCCAAATCAAAGAAGTGTTCTGGGATAAATTTCTAAAAACTGAAACGAAATGTATAACAAAATTATATGAAAAATTATTAGAATGGTCAACGGAGACTGAAATAATAAAAGGATGTATGGTAAAATGGGCAGAAAACTTTAAAAGACTGATAGCATTGTGTGATTGGGAATTAATGTGGGAGAAAAAACTCAAGTACACCTATACAATGGACTTAAAGGAAAATTGGTTGAAAATGTTTCATAGGTGGTACATGACTCCAGTAAAATTAAATCACATGTATAAGAATGTATCAAAAACCTGCTGGAAATGTAATGAACATGAGGGGACCTTCTTTCACCTATGGTGGAGCTGTACAGAATCCCAAAAATATTGGAAAAGCATCCACGATGAAATGCAAATAATATTTAATAAGAAATTTCCAAGAAAAGTCGAATATTGTCTATTGGGAATTGTAGATGCTGATATTAAATTGGACTTGAATGAGGATATCCTGTTTATGTATTTGACAACGGCCGCCAGAATTGTTTTCGCTAAACTCTGGAAGCAGAATGAAATACCAGAGAAACTCCACTGGATAAAGAAAATAAATGAAATAAAGGACATGGACATGTTAACGTTTTTACTAAAAAAGAATACAGGCAATACAATCAAACAGACAAACTGGTCAATAATTGATGACTATATTGAAACAAAGTACAAAGTACTTTAATTGGACAGAGGTCATTTGGATGGTACAAAATGGAATACATATTTACATATATATAGACAATAAAGAATAGTAATTGTGCGAGCTGAATCAGAAGGGAGTCCAAATCCCCCCTTTTTTTCCTCTCTCTCTCTCTCTCTCTCTCTCTCTCTCTATATATATATATATATTCTTGACTTTTGATTTTTTTTATTTTTTTCTCCTATTTTTGATGTTTGACCTTTTTTTATTCTTCTTTTTCCTTTTTATCTATTTTGCATATTCACGGGTGTTTGGTTTTGGTACTTTCCTACTTTTCTATCTCCTTATATTATTCCCCCACTTTCGCTGTAATTATATAAAATCTAATAAAAAATTTAAAAAACATTAGAAAGAGCGAATGGTGAGACAGGTTGGGCAGTGGTATGTGCTGCCTTTGAGGCATGTGGAGCCTCTTTCTCTGGAGCAGTGTTTCTCAACCTGATGGTCGGGACCCCCTGGGGGGCGTGAGGGGGTATCAGAGGGGTTGCCAAAGCCCATCAGGAAACATAGTATTTTCTGTTGGTCATGTGGGTTGTGTGGGAACTTTGGCCCAGTTCTATTGTTGGCGAGGTTCAGAATGCTCTTTGATTGTAGGTGAACTATAAATCCCAGCAACTACAACTCCCAAATGTCAAGGTCTATTTTCCCTAAACTCCACCAGTGTTCACATTTGCACATATTGAGTATTTGTGCCAAGTTTGGTCCAGATCCATCACTGTTTGAGTGCTCTCTGGATGTAGGTGAACTACAACTCCAAAACTCAAGGACCACCAAACCCAGTATTTTCTGTTGGTCATGGGAGTTCTGTGTGCCAAGTTTGGTTCAATTTCATCATTGGTGGGGTTGAAAATACTCTTTTATTGTATTTGAACTATAAATCCCAGGAACTACAACTCCCAAATGTCAAGGTCTATTTTCCCTAAACTCCACCAATGTTCACATTTGGGAATATTGAGTATTCATTCCAAGTTGATCCAGATCCATCATTGTTTGAGTCCTCAGTGCTCTCTGGATGTAGGTGAACTACAACTCCAAAACTCAAGGCCCACCAAACCCTTCCAGTATTTTCTGTTGGTCATGGGAGTTCTGTGTGTCAAGTTTGGTTCAGTTCCATCGTTGGTGGGGTTCAGAATACTCTTTGATTGTAGGTGAACTATAAATCCCAGCAACTACAACTCCCAAATGACAAAATCCAAAAACTGTATTCAAATTTGGGCATATTGGGTATTTGTGCCTAATTTGGTGCAGTGAATGAAAATACACCCTGCTTATCAGATATTTACATTACGATTCGTAACAGTAGCAACATTACAGCTATGGAGTAACAACAAAAACAATGTTATGGTACATGAGGAACTGTATAGGGAAGGTTGAGAACCCCTGCTCTTCTGGGGGCTTTGAAGCAGAGGCTGGGTGCGCTCCGCTTTTCCTGCGGGGCAGTGGGGTGTGCTGGGTGGCCCTTGGGGGCCCCTCCTCCCCTCTCGAGGCTGCTTCTCTGAGTCACGCCCAGCAGCCCTCATCTCCTCCGCCTTCGGTGGCAGGAGGGCAGGGAGCGGAGGCGGAGGCTGGGCCGGGCTGAAGGCCGAGGCGAGCTCCTCCCTCCTTCCCTCCCTCCTTCCCTCCCCGCCCCTTCCCTCCAGAGCCAGGCGTGCCCACAGCACTGGCAGTCGCTCCAGGGCCGCCAGAGAGATCGGCGGGACGGCAACGCGGGCCTCGGCAAAAACAGCAGCAGCAGGAGGAGGAGGAGGAGGAGGACCTTCTGCCGAGCCTTTCCGCCTCCTTTGCCTCGGCCCTGGGCATTAGCGGGACCTTCTTGCGGGGGATAACAGGCGTCCGGCTGCGGCGCAAGGATCTGCCTTGGAGGAGGAGGAGGCGTCGGCTGCTTTCGGAGGCTTGCTTTCTCGGAAGGGGGCTTGCCTTTGGGGACTTCGGGCCAACGCGGCGCCCAGGTGAGGCTCCTGGCAAGGGAAAGGCCGGGAAGGAGCCCCCGGGCCCGGAATGGCCTTTGGAGAAGTCGGGGGGACCCTTGGAGGAAGGTTTCGGGGCGTAACGAGGCTTCGGCAAAGCGAGAGGACATTTCAGGCCCCTCTTGAGGCACACACATGTTGTTTTCCTCCCCCTCCCTCCCCCACATCTGAGCCCATTGTCCTTCTAGGCAGGATAAGACCCAGAATAGAAACAAAGGGTGCATTTACACTGCCGAATTCATCCAGTTTCATACCACTTTAGCTGCCATGGCTCACTGCCATGAACCCATGGAGGATGGTCGTTTGGAGAGGCGCCAGCGCTCTTTGGCAGAGAAGGCTGAAAGGACAGTTTCCATGATTCCATAGCATTGAGGCATAGAGTGATATCAGATTGCATTAATACTACAGTGTAGATGTGGGCCCCAAAAGGGTTGTCATGGTTGGGTTGCGCAAGGCAGACTTAACCTCTGGCCATCCCAGATGTAAAAAGGAGCCCCCGGTGGCGCAGTGGGTTAAACTCCTGTGCCAGCAGGACTGAAGACCAACAGGTCGCAGATTCAAATACAGGAAAACACAGATGAGCTCCCTCTATCAGCTCCAGCTCCTCATGCAGGGACATGAGAGAAACCTCCCACAAGGATGGCAAAACATCAAAACATCTGGGCGTCTCCTGGGCAATGTCCTTGCAGACGGCCAATTCTTTCACACCAGAAGCGACTTGCAGTTTCTCAAGTCGCTCCTGACACGACCAAAAAAGAAAATCCCAGATGTGGATAGGAATGACATCCCTTTTGTGTCCTTTGCTGTTTTGGTGTCAGTTTTGACCTCCCTGACAAGCCAGAAGTCCTTCAACAGATCTCTGCTTTTTTCACTATTCTCTGGAGTTCTTTCCAAGCCAGGCCCTTGGGATTCATTAGAAACAGGAAGGATTTGTATACATTCTATACAATGGCAGAATCCCTTATATAAAATGGCAAAAACAATGTTTGCCTTATGGACTCTTAGATGGTTGGATCCGTGGATGCAGAACCCATGGAAACCAATAATTGATTAAATATAAATAGAGAGCAAACAGTCATATTCCATAAAAACCAATCTATAGTCAAAAGATTCAAGGGCCATGTAGGGAAAACCTCATAGAAATCAGGGGCCCCTGACGGTGGTGGTTTTCTAGTTCTTTTTCCTGTCTTTGGCACCACTTTGGGTAGAAATCAAGCCCTAAACATGTTTCAGTGATTCATTGTTTTCTTTATATTTTTGAATATGTGTTCGAAACAGGAAGTCAGATCCATGTGTTCCTTTTCTGTCATTTTGATATTCTGTGTGAGTTATATATATAAAAAGTGATGTAAATACTTCCCAGTGTTATTATTATTTTTCTCATCAATCTGATCACTGGGTTGCTGTGAGTTTTCCAGGCTGTATGGCCATGTTCCAGAAGCATTCTCTCTTGGCATTTCACCCACATCTATGGTAGGCATCCTCCAAGATGGTGAGGTCTGTTGGAAACTAGGGCTGTCTGGCTGTGTTCCAGAAGCATTCTCTCCTGGCGTTTTGCCCACATCTGTGGCAGGCATCCTCCGAGGTGGTGAGGTCTGTTGGAAACTAGGCAAGTGAGGTTGATATGTCTGTGGACTCTCCAGGGTGGGAGAAAGAACTTATCAATAATTTAAAGTCATATTCAGAACAACAAAACCTCTCAGATATTCACTTGTTGCAGTATATTTGTAGTTTGGTGACTGTGTATTGTCGAAGGCTGTTATGCCCAGAATCATTGGGTTGTTGTGAGTTTTCTGGACTGTATGGCCATGTTCCCAAAACATTTTCTTCTGACGTTTTGCTCACATCTATGGCAGGCATTTTCAGAGGTTGAGGGATCTGTTGGAAACTAGGCAAGTGGGGTTTATATATCTCTGGAATGTCCAGGCTGGGAAAAAGAACTGATCAATATTTTTTAGTCATACTCAGAATAACAAGGCCTCTCGGATATTCATTTGTTGCAGTATATTTGTAGTTTGGTGACTATGTATTGTCGAAGGCTTTCATGCCTAGAATCACTGGGTTGTTGTGAGTTTTCCAGGCTGTATGGCCATGTTCCCAAAGAATTCTCTCCCGATGTTTTGCCTCCATCTATGGCAGGCATCCTCAGAGGTTGTGAGTTTGGTGACTGTGAGGTTGTGAGTTTGAGGACTGTTTGCTCCTCTTTTCTAAAGGAGGCTTTCCTGCCTGTAAGCCTTCATTCAGTAAACACTCCCCTTTAGAAATTTAATTTGAGCTGCTCTCTATCCAAGCGGGGATGGCATTTGCACATGTTGCTTTGGATGTGGTGCTGTGATTGGAGGAAAGAAGGAGCTGTTGTGTAACTGTCAGATATTTTTTTTCAAACCAAAAGGTATGGCTTCTTGCATTGCAGCTCACCCTTTTGTGTGGGCGGGCAGCTCATTTGCTTGCTAAGTGCGGTGTTGCACAGTCACATTTGCAACGCACATTCGTTGCATCTTCCACGGCATCTGAATGTGTTTGTCCAAAATTAGGTGGTGTCATTCTGCACTGGAAAACAGTATTGCACCAGGAAATGATTTCATTTCTAGTGATCCTGGGTGTTTAAAATGTCACCTGCTCATCATAATTTAGAATGAGAAAGTCCCATCTGACTGTAAATAAACATTGGTCACAAATGGTTTTCTTATGTCTACAAGGAAAGTTACCAAATATTACTCAGTTTGTCAATAAAGACTAAATCCTTTGTCAGATTGTGAACGCACAATCTTTAGTGATCGGGCCTGTTTACTTGCAGTAAAACAGGTGACACTGTCTAACAGTGGAAGGCTAAGGCCCAACCTTTTCCATGAAATCTTAAGATGTTTCCTATCGTTTTAGGCCAGCCCTGTGGAACTGTATGTTTCAGAATTCATATTGCTCTTGCTTTACTTCCATAGATCGTTCTATCTTCAAACAGGGAGTGATTCTATTTAAGCTCACTGTATTTGTTCCTTTCCTTTAAAAAGGTGCATCTCTTATATCAATGCCTTTCGTTTTGCTTTGCTCCTTTGCGGAGGGCATTGAGAAAATATAAGAAATGGAAATACAGTATGTTAATCTTTGAAAGCCTCTAATGTTGGTTTCTACATGATTGAGAATTATCTCTTTGCCTACAGGATTTCTAGTTGCTTCTGTGGAAATCTAGCACCATAGATTACAGATGGTTTTACTAAGATATACCTCGCTGTCTTGATGTGTTTTTAAGAACCTTATCTGCAAAATTAATGCAAAACATATTAATCTGGTGTGGAGGTGAGGAGATGATTTGCTCAAGAGATTCGTTGTTAATTCTTATTTATATCTTACTGAGGCAAAAAAAAATCAGTTAATTGTTCTTCATTGTTATGTGTAAGGTAATCTTCAGATTATCTGATTCTGGGGATTCTGTTAAACCTGAACATATAGATGGCTAAACTTCAGTTTTAGGTAATGTTGCAGTTGAGACTAGCAGTTAAACCCCAAAGCCAAAGCCTGTTTGACACTTAAAAGGGAAATAAGGAACTTCAGAAAAAAGCTAATCAAACTTTGTTTTTTTAAAAGGTGCTGTCAATAGTTGCAAAACTCCTAACAATGGTATTTTAGGAGTAGTGGCAGTTCTTGATAAATATTGTCCACATTCAATTTTCAGCTTTTTTCATATTTGGGAACTGCAGTATACAAATCAGGCTACTGATTTCTTTTCTTTGTTTATTTGTTTTCCGTCATTTGAATGGATAGTTTAACAGTCATAAAAACTAAAATGGCTTGTCAGTGTTTTATTGTTAGGGAATTTTACAAAATCAGCTAGAGAAAGGAATGCGAAGAGGAATGGAAGATTACTCTTTATGTTGTCAAAGGCTTTCATGGCTGGAATCACTGGGTTGCTGTGAGTTTCTGGGCTGTATGGCCATGTTCCAGAAGCATTGTCTTCTAATGTTTCACCCACATCTATGGCAGGCATCCTCAGAGGTTGTGAGGGCTGTTGGAAACTAGGGCCAGCTAACACTTCCCAACAAGGGATTTCCCCAGGCAGGAAGCATCCAGGCTTTGAAGCTGCAAGGCCATTTAATGCTAATCAAGGTGGCAAATTTCAACATTCACACTTGCCTCAAGAAAATAAGAGTTCTTTCTCCCACACTGGACATTCCACAAAGATATATACCTCCCTTGCCTAGTTTACAACAGACCTCACAACCTCTAAGAATGCCTGCCATAGATGTGGGTGAAACGTCAAGAAAGAATGCTTCTAGAACATGGCCATACAGCCCAGAAAACTCACAGCAACCCAAATGACTCTTTAATTTTATAAACTGGTTGGAACTACAGTAAAATTACAACAAGTATGTTTTCTTTTAAACATGGCTTTTGTTAGGGAAATACAATCAAATGAATACATTCCTGCATGTGTTCAGAAAACTGGTAACAAAGAAGATAAGGGTTAATCCAGTTTAATGGCAAAGCATTTGCACTCATTATAACAAAGCAGCTACGCCCCATACCTCTGCTTTCATGGCATTTTCTGTGAGCCTTGTATATTGACTACACATATTCAAGCCCTACCGCAATTCCATCAACTAGAGGTTTAAGAGAATTAGTCAAGAAACCTCACATTATTGTATTCCCAGCACTACTGAGAATCACTTCCCCCTACTGTACTGGAGCCTGTCTGTGAGCTTTTTAAACGTCATCCTTTAAAGGACTTGTAAAAATAGTGTACAGACGCCCAGCCTGAAAAGTTGCATACATTGATACACAGTGTGTTAGCAGCTCAAGAAAATGTAGTGGACCCAAGTTGTCTGGCCCAGACAGCACAGAGAAACACTGCAGAATTAATGCAGTTTGTCATTGCTTTAATTGCCATGGCTCAATGCTATAAGATGAAGGGAGTTGTAGTTAGGTGAGGCACCAGCATTCTTTGGTAGAGAAGACTGAAGACTGTGACTAAAACTATGCCTACAGTATTGGCAGTTGGTTCTGTATATGGGCTGATCACCTAGACAGGTGAAAATCTTCATTCAGCTTGGGTATGAATGAATGAATTTTATTGTTACAGTCCTATAGCACCAAAAGTGTAAAACTTTAAAACCTTGAAAACAGAGTTTGGGTAGGAATTGATACAAGCTGATACGTTGATCTAGGACTTTATTTCTGGAATTCAGTTGGTACCTTTACTTTTGCCTTGTAGCTTTTGTAGGTCTGTTGTAGTCATTGGAGTAAATAAGGGTGGAATTAGAGTTTGCTAAACTGGAGAACCACAGATTGTATCTTTCTTGTGGCAGAGAAAATCCGGAGCCAAGATTGATAAAAAGCATCTCCTCCCTCAATCATATGCCTTTCAGTAATGAGTAGTAATACTCAGATCTCTTGTATGGAAATGAATTTAACCAGTATGAGAAAGATTTTGTTCCAGCCAAAATGCTATGTTTGTGTTGTATATTTGCAAGTTGCTTGTCACCTTACAATGACCTCATTAATTTCATAAGGTTTTCTTAGGAAAAGTATGCTCAGAGGTGCTTTTGCCAATTCCTTCCTCTTAGGCCCCTTCTACACTGCCATATAAAATCCAGATTGTCTGCTTTAAACAGGGGCAGAAGATAAGCTGAGTAGAGCTAATAATTTAAACATGATTCCCAATTTATTACAAATTTGAACTGTTGGGAGGTTACAATTGGTTTTAAGATATTGTTTTCCTTTAAACTACTACTGAAAAGAAATTCTCTAAGGGACCTTCCACACTGCCATATAATCCAGAATATCAGGGCAGATCATCCACATTATCTGCTTTGAACTGGAATATTTGAGTCCACACTGCCATATAATCCAGTTCAAAGCAGATCATCTGGATTTTGTACAGCTGTGTAGAAAGTGCCTTAGGCCCCTTCTACCCTGCTCTATATCCCATGATCTGATCCCAGATTATCTACTTTAAACTTAATTATATGAGTCTCTACTTCCAGATAACCTGGGATAAGTAGATAATCTGGGATGAGATCCTGGGATATAGGGGCCTTCCACACAACCCTATATCCCAGAATATCAAGGCAGAAAATCCCACATTATCTGCTTTGAACTGGAATATATGGCAGTGTAGACTCAGAAAACCCAATTCAAAGCAGATATTGTGGGATTTTCTGCCTTGATATTCTGGGATATAGGGCTGTGTAGATGGGCCCCTAGGGCAGTGTGGAAGGGGTCTATGACAAACTGTTCATAATGACCCGATGATTATTAGTCTCACCTTTAAATAGCAGTATCGTTTTCAGGTATTTTAAGCTCTTCAGTCTAAACATTTTTAGTCAATTATTTCAGTGATAGAAACAAAGGGGTCATTCTGCATGTATTTAGGTAGTAAATAGAAAGTACAGAGAAGATGAAATATTACCAATCCAGCAACTGCGTGAGATGCATTAGATTGATCTCCTGGTGAATTATTCCTGGAGAAGACCTTGAGTAGGCTGGGCAAAAGTTTGAACATTGCCTCCCTTCCAAAGTCAGGTCACACATTCTTGAGAAATTCCTCACTATTTAAAGGAAGTTTCATTAGGTGAGGTATTGATAAGAGAAGTAGTGGTATTAAAAGGTGGTCCTTAAATATAGTGGTATTGTTGCTATAATTTTGTGTAACTGCAAAATCTAAATTGGTCTCAGTTTAATGTAGCCTCCTCTAAATGAAGGCACACTGTGATACCCATGAATGCCCTCTTTGTATGCTGTAAAAGCCAAAATGTTTAGGTATAAACTGAGACTGTGCGTCTTATTGTTTCTGTCAATAAACAGTTCCTATGAATTTTGTTTTCTTGTTTAGATGAGTGACTTTGGACTCAAGAACATGGATCAAGTAGCACCTGTATGCAGTGTTTATAGAGGGCTGCTCAAGGTAAGGCATTAATCAAATTCTCAATAATAGGTAGTTTAATATCTGCACAGGGCATATCACTTGAATGCATTGCACTCTCAGGTAGTAGAGAGAGTATGCATTGTGGGAGAACTAATCCACCAGCAGCAATACTTTCCATTGTGAAAGGAAGGCTGCTTACCTTGTGAATTCAGTGAAGCAATAATTGGTAATGACGACAGGAATGGAACAACGGAAAATGATACTGGATTGTGGTTTAAACGATGAGATGACGTGAATGGCTTTTTGTATTATTGATATTGTTGATGTTTCTGATGATGATGTTTTTGGTTATTGCTAGATTGATATTTTAGATTGTGTCTTGAATATTGAACCTTGTTCTTTCTATGTTGTACACCGCTGTGAGTCGCCCCCGGGCTGAGAACAGCGGTATATAAGCAAAGTAAATAAATAAGTAAATAAATAAACAATCAATGTTTTAATATGTGAGGAGAGAAAATAATAGAGTTATAAGAAATAGCTTTTCTCATTTGTTTACAAAGTAAAAACTGAATTCTTGGTGGATATTTCAGTAAAAGGGTTGGATAAGCTAAACACTTTGCTTGAATAGCCAAAGTTTTAATATGGTAGTGTTCCTGTAGTATTTGTATGTGCAGTTGAGTCTTATTTACACCAGAGTAGTACTTAATCCGAGAAGATGTTAGACTTCAGTTTCCATTATCAGCATGATAGTCAGCATGACCATTGATCACATATGAAGTTGTGTATCAGGTCCCCACTGTGATACAGTAGACTCTCAGTTAACTGGCATGCAAGCAAATGAAACTCTCAAGCAACTGGCAAAAAATAATACTTAATTTTTAAATAATAATATTTTTATTTTTATAACCCGCCCTCTCTCCCTGAAGGGGCTCGGTTTTTATAATACAGTAAAACAACACTTGTTACATTAAGTTACATTTGTCTTTATTTGTCTTTAATTACTGTATTTCAATATTAATACAAGTCAGTATAGAATTTATAATATAGTATTATATTAGTCAGGCCTATTTTTAATAGTAACGCTCAAAAAACCAAAGACTATATCTGCCAATTCCCATGGGTGCTGGCTAACTGAGAGTCCACTGTATATATACAGAATGTTAACATATAGTTTAAAAACTCAGCTTTGTCTACTTTTGGCATGTGTTGATATTTTAACACAATTTATTAAAATCACTCAATGCCTTCTGTGATTCACAACTTTGGATTCTTGTCAGTGCTGTTTAAAATTCAAAATGTTCAAGGCACTGTCTTCTCAAAGGCTTTCATAACTGGAATCACTGGGTTGCTGTGAGTTTTCCAGGCTGTATGGCCATGTTCCAAAAGCATTCTCTCCTGACGTTTCACCCACATCTATGGCAGGCATTAGGATGTCTGTCATAGATGTGAGCAAAACTTCAGGAGAGAATGCTTCTGGAACATGGCAATACAGCCCAGAAAACTCACAGCAACCCATTGTTCAAGGCACTGTTTGCAGAATGTTCTGCAGAAATTGCCTTAACTTAGTAACAACTTGTGAAGAGGCTGCATTTCCCCTTAGGCCAGCTGCATAATAATATAAATGTAGGCTTGTAATAGATGCTTATTAACCTGGGCTGTGTTGTACTCTACACTCGTCGGCCTTGTCATGTGACAAAGCATATTAGAGGCATAATGGTTGACTCATATCAGCCTTCGGGGCACAGTTCCATCATTGTATGGCTGTTCCCAGTATTTCAGGATTTCTCAATGAGTGCTATTTTCCACTACTCTTTAGCAATTTTGGCACAGAAAACGAAATTGTGTTGCTCATGAGTTTGGTAGGCTTTCATGCATGCAGCTATTAAACAAACTCACTATACAGTTTAGTTTCATGCTTTAAAAATGCAACTTAATGTTTAAAGTACAGTGTCCCTTTTACTCATTCACATAAAGCTACATTTTTTCCAGTGACTCAGTGTAAGGGTCACTTATTTATACAAAACACAGGAGTTTCCAGATTTATGTTGAAAGAGCTTGGCCTTTCCCCTAGGTACTGAGGATGACTCATATCTTTTATCTAATAGCACTGGAGGAGGGGGGGGGGGCTATTGTGTGAGAAGGCTAGACAGCTGGCTTATAATTAATCTGATGTAACCATTAATCAAGAGAGTTTGGGATTCTTAATGTTGTAGTTTTTATGCCTATATATGAACAGTTTCTTTGTCCTGGGCTATATCCTTTTGACTACATTACGCTTAGAGTTTCTACTACTGAAATCAACCATTGGAGATCCTTATCTGAGAAATATATTTTGTTCATGTTACCACCTCCATGGTCTTTCTTCAAAGAAAGAGGGAAATCGGTACAAAACATCTTGAATTGGCAAAAAAATCTTGAAATGCAGCTGTTGTCACAATTTGAAATGTATAAAGAGAAAAACAATGCAGCGCCAAACAGGTATACTTGCATACCTGATAGTAAGCCTTTTCAAACTCAGAGAAGCTTCCTTGAATAGGCATGGATAGAGTTACATTGTAAAAGGTTTTTTAACAGGGAAACACACATAGTATCAGCTGAAAGTCAAACACGTTTTTCTTGGAAAAACCACTTAAACCATGAGCCTCCCAAAACACTGCTTACATTTGTTTTTAAACAGATTAGAAAGTAATTTTAATCCTTTCTCTCAATTGTCCTAGAACTGCAACAAAGATGATAGTGCTGTCTTTTTCCTTCTTGTGTGTCTTAAGTTCTGTTTAACAATATTTTACATACAAGTGAACATTTGTATGTAATTAGACTTGTCACTGTGCACATGGGTCTTTCCGTGTTCTGATACTTTTTTTGTAAAATATTTGATTTTTTAAAAAGGAAAACAAACACGTTATAAGTTGAAGTTTTAATTACAGTACAATCCCCGTATCCATGGGGCATATATTTTAGGACTTTGCATGGATATGCAAAATCATGAGTGATAGGGAAATCTATTGAGCAAACAACATCTGGTGGAAGCTTACCATAGAGTCACATTGGAGGACTTAGAAAATGCCTAGAGGGGATATATTTTCTTAGAAAGGAACTGTGGGTACTGGTCCCACAGATAAGGCAGATTGTACTGTATTCCTGCATGGCAGGGGTTTGGACTCAGTGGCCCTTGCGGTCTTTTCCAGCTCTATGATTCTATAGTTCAGATGACATTAATTAGTCAAAATGGCTATGGTCTCCTAGAGCAGTGGTTCCCAACCTGTGGGATCTCAGATGTTTTGGCCGTCAACTCCCAGAAATCCTAACAGCTGGTAAACTGGTTAGAATTTCTGGAAGCTGTAGGCCAAAATACCTGGGGACCCACAGGTTGAGAATCACTGTCTTAGAACAATGGTTCCCAACATTTGGTCGTCTGGGTGTTTTGGACTTTAGCTCCCATAATTCCTAAAAGCTGGTAAAGCTGGCAAGGATTTCTGGGAGCTGGAAGTCCAAAACAGCTGGAAGACCAAAGGTTGGGAACTACTGTCATAGAATGTACTCATCCACATCAGATTTCAGGTTCTACTAGAAACTAATAAAAAGGCACATGAGACATGGTCAACTTGTAGTAAGTCTCCTGTTGTAAGCATACTCACTCACTATAAGGACTGAAGGCAGTGTTGTAATTATGGGAGCACTGGAACTTCTTAGTAGAATTTATTTTTAAATGTTTTTAAAATAAGACTTTAGATACAATCTACTTACTGTAAGCCACTTTGAACCCCATTCTGGGAGAAAAACAGAGTAGAAATGGAATATAAAAATAGTACATATTGATTTGGTCCAAAAAAAAGCTCTTCAACATCCTAGATTTGTATGTGAGGATTTTCTCAACTAAACTGTGGAGTTTTAAGGGAACCGTCAATTATTTGTATGTTGCTGGCATCAAGGAAAATATATACAGAATATCAGTGTTAGGATTCCTTAATGGTGATTTGCATAAATATATTGCACAGATTTCCCAAAATATATATTAGAAAGTTATCCCTGTGCTAACTAGTAAATGAAGTTTAATTCAGAGTATTATGTGGTGTGGTGGTCTAATCATTAGATTCTGACTCAAGAGGCCAGGGTGGAATTCCATGTACTGGATGACCTTGGACATGTCACATTCTCCCAGCCTCAGAGAATGGCCTTCTGAATAAATCTTGTGAAGAAAGCACTGTAACAGGTTCACCTTAGAGTCACCATAAGCTGGAAAGTCATATTCCACTTTGTCAGAAGATATTAAAGTTGTATTGATACCCTAAAATACTTATATTAAATTGTATTTTTCTTTATTTTCAGCGGCAGCCTGCGTTTGATAGCTTTGAAAGTGCAAATTCTCTGTTTATGGGATACTTTCCCTCTTTAAATGAAGATCAGACACTTCAGGAAGTGCCCACGGGCCTTGACTCTATTTCTTATGGTAAGTACTAGTTTTATAAAAATATCAGATCAGATGGTCATGCTGATGAACCAAGCTAGGTCATTGGAAGATATTAGAACTAGTCCCTCGTAAGTCTAGAACCGTAACCCTAAGTCATAACGAATTGAACCCCAGTTGACAGGGAAATTAGAGCTTCTACCAGTGTATAACGTCTAGTCATAAATGTAAGCAGGAAATGTCTTGGTAGAACATATACTTCCTATAATCAATGTCATTTCATAACTCATTCAAAATATGGAGACTAGGATGCAAAACAATAACATCAAACTATAGGAAAGGAGATTCCATCTGAACATTAAGAAGAATTTCCTAACTGTGAGAGCTGTTCAGCAGTGGAACTCTCTGCCTCGGACTGTGGTGTAGGCTTCTTCTTTGGAGGCTTTTAAACAGAGGCTGGATAGCCATCTGACAGAGGTTCTTTGAATGCAATTTTCCTGCTACTTGGCAGGAGGTTGTACTGGATGGCCCACAAGGTCTCTTCCAACTCTATGATTCTATATGATAAGATGGGCATCTCATCTTATTTGTGCTTGTGGCTCCCTAACAAAATGGATTCATTGATTGACTCCTCAATTGAAATCCATAAGGATACCATTCCATACAAAGACAAATTATAAATGTACTGTAGCATCTATCCTTAGAATAGATCAGAACTTGGAAAGGTTATTTTGTTACTGAAATTTCAGGAGTCTCATCAGGGCCCAAGAAACACCTTTTTCATAGAAAGTGTCTTGAATTAAAGTAATCAGAGTGAAGGCAGCAGTCCTTTCTTGAAGAATGGCAAAGTTACAGAACAATGTACAAGTAACTGCTTGGTTTATATAAATCAGTCTGACCCTATATTCTTTTCATATTTTTTCCAGTATTGAAGTGTCTATTTGTCATTTGCAAAGCAAAACAGCCTTCTAAAGAATGCTGTTTGACTAGTGATAAGTTTATAGACTAGCTTCACAAAACAGTATGGATATTTCAACTCCTTTCACTCATCAGCTACAATTCTATTTGATTTATGCTCAGGCTAAATAAGTTACAGTTTAGGGCCTCAGTTTATGAGGCATCTGTAAATATTTGCCCATCAAGCACACTCAAAGTCAACAGAAAATCTCTTAAAATAATGCACATTTTGGTGGTAGTGTGGCAAGTAATACTATTCAACTTGACATAATATAACACCCCCCCCCCCCGTGTGTCTTAATTGATCATGTTTACAATGTTCTTTTTTTTTCTTTTCAGAATCAAATAACTGTGAGTTGCCCCTTTTAACTCCAAGTAGTAAAGCGGTGATGAGCCAAGCTTTAAAAGCAACTTTCAGTGGTTTTACCAAGGAACAGCGCAGATTGGGCATCCCAAGCAGTAAGTATATTTTCTTTCTAGTGTACAAGATTATGTAGATTGGACAGGAGTCAAAATGAGACTTTTTGCCATGTGGCACTCATATCCTAAACCAGTGGTTCCCAACCTTTTTTTGAGCAGGGACCACTTTCACCACTCTCCAACATTAGGACCATTGGTCAACTTTAGTTTCGGTTTGGTTATTTGGGGTGCTGATTCAGAAAATTGCACTAGATAAACCACATCTATCTAGTATAAAGAATATAGGGTCAGACTGATTTATATATGATACAGAACATATGCCATCCAGTAGTCGCTATCTGCTCACTCACAGAAAGCCATATTTAATTTAGTAGTAATCTTTCACGGGTAGTCAGCCTCTCCCCTCCCACATCCCCATTGCCTCAGCAGTATAAGAGAGTTTTGTGTGACCAGTCGCTCTCGTTGCCATGTGGTTTTGAGGCAACGGTATAGTAATGGTGAGGCCACGGATCTTATTTTGATTCTTTTGGACCACTGGTAGTCCATGGATCACAGGTTGGGAACCACTGTCCTAAACCCATTGGCCTCACTCTAATGTGTATAGACCCATGGAATCCATAAGTGTTGAGTTACCAAGTTCCCATTGATTTCTTTGATCTTTTCAAGTTGGGATTATTGCCTTAAGAGCATCACTTGATAGTAAGCATAGTTGATTTCAGTGGAATTTAAACAATTATATTTAGGCTTGTTGCCTGAATTGATTTACTAGAAGCTTCTCAGAAGTATGTGGAATCATATAGAAAAAAGAGGTAGCAGTAAGCTTCAGTGTTTGCTGTAGGAAATTACCCTGCTAATGTTAATTGTTGTCTCACTCCCTATAGATCCATGGTTATGGACCCAGCATCAGGTGTATCAATGGCTTCTCTGGGCTGCAAACGAATTTAGTTTGACAAATGTAAACTTTGAAAGGTTTGCCATGAATGGCCAAGAGTTATGCAACTTGGGAAAGGAGCATTTCTTGGAACTGGCACCTGATTATGTTGGTGACATTCTTTGGGAACATTTGGAGCAGATGATAAAAGGTAAATTGCAAAGCCAAAGTGATGTTTTAACATTTCTGGTGGATCAGCCTTTAACTGTTTTACAAATATTGGAAATTAAATCAAATATCAGAAGGCAATGTAGACATTTGTTAGATTATTTATCAAAATGCTGTGGCTGCCTTTTTAAAAAATACATCTTTATAATCTTTTATGCCAAACTACAAAGCTTTAGTGTGAAAATTTCTGTGTGCTTTCTATTTGAAGAGATCATAGATTGAATCCGAACCTAGCCATGACTTATAGCTGAACATAAATATGACTAATTTAAATTCCCTTTTGTTTAAAGAGTACGACCAAAAGTATGACCAAGTTGGGATTCTAACTCATATGTATTCAATAGAGAGCAATAGTAAAATAGTTTAATTACTCTTGATGTAAGTGGAAAAGCTAAGAGAATGCTTATCATTAGTGTTCATTTAGGTTCCAGACCATTAAAAATATATTTGTCTGATAACATTAGACAAGAGAGAGTTCATTTATAATGTATAATTATAACAAATACATGACATATTGCATAACATGTCAAAGTAAATTCTCCCAACCAATTGTATATTCAAAAATGCTTGGTTTGTTCATAGACAATGAAGAAAAGCCACAGGAACAGTATGTGGAAAATTCCCATCTCACTTCATCCCCACACTGGGTCAACAACAACACATTAGGTAAGTTTTTTTAATTAGGCAAATTGTCTTTACTCAAATAAAGTAAAAAAACTGAACAGAGTTATATAAATACAATTTAATAATGTGATTTTGATGGTTCAAATCATTGACAAAAGACACAAATTGAATCAATTCAAATTACTACTTTGAAAGTTGTGGGAATTATTAAAGCAAATATGGGAACCTTTGACCCTCTAGCTGTTTTAGATAAAATATTCCAGACCATTAGCTGTTATGTGTGGAATTGATGGGAACTATGGGACAGACTATTTGGGGTGACAAAATTCCCCAAATTCAATTAATGTGCTCCCAAAACCAAGAAGTAGTACCTGGCTGATCACATCTATATTTTATTTGTTCTGCAGTTTCAAAAACTTATAGAGATTATTAGTTATGAACCACAGTAGTTTAAAGGAAACATTACTGTCTTTGTGTGGAGAAAATTTATACCAGTGAGATTTGCTCCACTTGATGCTTAAAACCGAATGACAAACATCTGCAATAGTTTTAGGCCCACTTATGTATTCCTCTATATGGGAAGAACCTACCATTCTAGAGTCTGTAAGAACTGTTGACTTAAAATCAAATTGCATTTCCTTTTGTGTTTTTTAGGTATTGATATTGATCAATCCCAGTATTGTGCTCAAGTACCCAGCTATCCAAAAACCTTGAACTATCCAAAAACCAGCCTTCTAAGTGACTTATGCCAGACATCAACTGGACAAAATCTTGTTAATTTGAAGCAAGAATATCAGATGTTTCCTAAAGCGCAGCTAGAAACAGTCAGCATGAATTATTGCTCCATGAGTCAGGACTTTGCAAGAAACAGTCTGAACATGCTGTTGGATAACTCAAGTAAGTATATGCACTCTGATCATAATGCTGTTTAAAGTATAATTGAGTTAGGGGTTTAGAGATAGATGTCCCTAACATAACAAAGCAAATGTCATCTGCTCAAGTAATTCTATATTCAGATTCCCAGTCTTCTTGTAGAGTGCAGCAGATCATGTCATATCTTGTTACTGAGACACAAGATACTAGTTTTAATCAAAGGAGAATTGCTAGTGTTTTAAAAATAAGTTTCAGTAAAGTCCAGCTCAGTTTGTAAAAAAAAATGGACAAAGGGTTACATTCACTTAACTACAATAAGCCTTAAGCATCTACTGGGTTTGATTTCAGGATGTTCCCCAAACCCCCAAGTACCAAAATTCATGGGTGCTAAATTCCCACTTTATACAATGGTGTGGTAAACTGGTGTCCCTTACCTAAAATGGTAGAATCAAGCTTTGCTTTTGATTTTTAATAAATATGTATTTTGAATGGTAGGATCTGCAGATACAGAGGGTTGACTGTATAGTTTCATATCATTGCTAGATAAAGTAGGAATTAATATTTGATTAAAACTAATGCTAATCAAAACTGGTCAATTGAACAACCATTCTAAATTATGGCACATTGTATACCTAGTAAAGTATGTTCTTTCTAATTTAATTGTGGGGAGGGCCACCAACATTGTAAATAAATTAGCATGGTCCAACTGAAATATGATAATCGCATGGTCCTCTAGATGTTATTGGATTGCATTTCCCAGTATTTGTCATTACTTGTTCTGCTCTGTAATTATTAATACGTTATTAATAATTAAAATATCAACAAAACCTCCAAAATAAGTGGACTTGTATTTATGGTGCTTTCCCAATTTTCCATTCAGGTAAACGCAGGGAACTTGATTCGAGTGACAGTGGCACAGAAAGTTATGAGAGCTCAGACTCATTGCTACAGTCTTGGAACAGCCAGTCCTCCTTATCAGACGTTCAGCGTGTGCCGTCCTATGAGAGTTTTGAAGATGACTGTAGCCCGTCACTGTGTCTAAATAAACCTACAATGTCCTTTAAAGACTACATACAAGAAAGGAGTGACCCTGTGGAGCAAGGGAAACCAGTTATACCAGCAGCAATTCTAGCAGGATTTACAGGTAAATCTTTATCTTTATATGAGAGTTAAAAAATCCCAATGTCCAGAGCATTGAAATACTATTTTTGGTTGGTTTTTTGATTCCCAACTTCCAGTATCCACTTCTGGAGTTTGACAAATAATAAATTTTTCCAACTTCTACTAATATCTCATAAGAAAGGTGTATATTAAGTAACAAGCTTCACAACTTTGCTTTAACAACCGTATCTTGATCTTCACAGGCAGTGGGCCTATACAGCTATGGCAGTTCCTTCTAGAACTATTAACTGACAAATCGTGTCAGTCATTCATTAGCTGGACTGGGGATGGATGGGAGTTCAAACTTGCTGACCCAGATGAGGTGAGTAGTTCAGTTGTTATGGCTAAAAAGCGAGTTGTCTATTCTTAGAACCTGAAGAAGTAACCTTTCCAAGCTCTGCCCATTCTTATATAGGACTGTCAAGAAGGGCAGAGCAGCTACAATCTATCGTGCTAATGTACATCCCCCTATTACTGAGGCTAAAAATCCACATTTCTAATTACATCAATTAGAAATGTGGAATTTTTGCCTCAGTAATAGATTTCAGTGAATGTGCCACTTACCTTTAGTCAGGTGTATAAACTTTGTCTGTAAGTGAGTCCCCCTCGGGGTGAGAAAAACGGTAAACAAATACTGTAAATAAATAAATAAATAAATATTATAGGTACTTTGGTGGCTTCTACTGCAATTAGTTGCAATTCTATGCAATTGTGGTACTTCATATATGGTTTCAAATTTAGGATCCACTCTGAAGATATTCAGAGTGGATTCAGTGCTTTGAAAACATCAAAGACCCAGATGGTCAGTTTGATATCAAGTGGCTTCTTTACAGTTAAAATATTATTACTTATTAAAAAGTTCCAGAACTTTATTTTTTTAGAAATTTTATTTGTATATAGATTTCAGATCTAGCATGATTTGTATTTGTTGTTCTTAGTTGTGTCCCAGTAAGCTATACCCATAAATACTGGTGGTTCAGTCTAATAGCACTTACAATCAGCTAATTGATTCTTTTGCCAAGTACTTTTAAATGTGCAGGTTGTTGAGAGCACTTGCCTAAACTAAACCTGTTTTCCCCCACTATTTTGGCTTAAGGTTGCACGACGATGGGGCCGAAGGAAAAACAAGCCCAAAATGAACTATGAGAAGCTTAGCCGTGGCCTGCGCTATTACTACGACAAAAACATTATTCACAAGACTTCAGGGAAACGCTACGTATACCGTTTTGTGTGCGACCTACAGAACCTGTTGGGTTATACAGCAGAAGAGCTGCACGCAATGCTAGGAGTACAGCCAGACACAGAGGACTGAGACTGGCTGGTGACATTTATGCAAAATGCAAGAACACATGAACTGTTATTGAGACCTTCTGCATCAGTCATTGGTTTGATCCTCTGGCTGTTTAGGAGGGTCCACTGTTAGCCACCTTAAAGAAGTGCTTTTGTTGTTGTGGAAGGAAAGAAATTGCCTTATTCTTGGGCGCTCTGGCTACATCTGTCCTCCATAACAGCATTGAGGTCAGCACAGTTCCTAGCTGTAATTTGAGCCTATGAAAGTGTCCGAGGGCTCGTTCTCTGTGTTGTGTACACCGCCATATCATTAAGGGTGTTTACCCCCTACCAAAGGCTGATAGCCATTGGCATTTCTAGCGCAAAAAAGAAATTCTCCTAAAATAGCAGCCTTGCGGATGTCAACATGTTGTGGTGTGTGCGAGCTTATAACAGAAAGGACGAGCTGTCCTTTGAGTAATTCAGGTGCTGAAGTGAATTTTCAGTGGGCATTCTTTCAAAGAACGTGTTTTACTACTTGGTGTCCACAGACAGGTTGCATAACCTCAGAACCAGGAGAAGCAATGACAGGCGTTCCTCACAGGGATGGAGGAATTCATACTGTTTCAGACAGCTACATATGTCTGTGTGTATAATATGCATATGTGTATTTGTAAGCATGTTTGTACAATTTCCTGGCAATTTATGCTCCTATTTAATAGATATTATATACTGTAATTTAAACTCACGTAAACATGTGAACGAGGAAGAAAGTAAATGTTTCATTTTGGAACAGTAGCATCTGGAAGAATTCACTCTGTGGAAGGAGTTAATGAGATACAATAGAATAGGCGCATGCTAAGTGCCATTGTTGTACAAAATGGTGTGGTCACAGCTACCAAATTCTGGAAGTATTTTTTCCATAATCGACTAATAGTGCAGTCTACAGCATAAAAGCTCAGTTTGACTCCCCTCTCCCCTTAAATGAAATTGAAAATGCTAACATTGTTTAAAAACTATTTATTGATGGGTGTCTCCCATGCATGTCCTTTAAAAATGTATATACGATCTTTATTTTTCTCTCATGTCACTATTCCCCACCTTCTTTCCCTCACCTAGAATTATCCTGATTAAAATATGGATTCTATTTTTGGTAATGTTTCTGACTTCGTTTCAGTGATTTGGAGAAAGATGTGTAGCAGCTATTTTTACTGCCAAAAAGTTCACTGGAAAATGTGATTTGTAAGACTATTTTTTAATCTTGAGATTGATGTAAATGTACAGTGTGAGGTTTAAAAGTACCAAATTTTATTAAAACCTCTTGAACAAAGATCAGGAGCTGTGAACATTTGTTTACAATTTCTCAGCTGTCTTCAGATTTCTTGATCTGCTGATGCAGTTTTAAGTTTCTGATAAGGTGGCAAGAAATGATAATATCTTCTTACAAGTGCCAAAATGATGAGGCTGATCCAACATTGTATAGATAGTTAATGGAGGCAGAATATACCCACATCTGTGCCTTGCTTGAGAAGATTTGATGCTTCAATTGAACAAAATGGGCAATAACTGGAGACAGTGGTGAAGATGGAATATAATCTACAGTATAATCATCAAATTCTTCCCTGTGGAATTGTTTTGATTTAGACTTTGAAAAGAAAGCACTTCTTGGAGTTTGCATTAATTAATGCAGGAACTTTTCAGAATAATTCAAAAATGTATTGAAATTTTCATATGAAACATGTTAAATGAACCAAGAGTAGTAGCATTTGCTACAGTTCTATGAATAGCCACTCTTGTTTACATAAATGAAATTGACACCCAATGGATCCTATATTTGAGCTTTTCATAACAGGAGCTTCCTAGCACTTGCTCTTATAGACTCTTTAAGAAGAGATGTTTAAAACATTGCTAATTTTCTCAGTGCTTGGAATGAGTTTTCATACAAGACTGTTCCCTTCAGATATCCTAAAAACATCTATGTTTCTTTGTAGAGGCTCTCCTACAAAGAAATAATGCTGTTTCTTAGAAGCTGTGGTTTTCACAATTTATATGCCAGACATGTGACTGATAAAAACACTGGGGGTGCAGATATATATCCTTGGAAATGGAAGGGATTCAAATTATAATTTGGTGCATGTGTTCCTTTTTATGAAGGAGGCTTGTATTTTGTTGGCACATGAGCATGTGAAATGTGATGGGAAGCCCACAACCTCAAAGCCTATGACTAAATATAATTTGCCTCCTGTAAAATGAGATTTTTTTCAAAGTACAGATCTTTCTGAATAACGTTTTCTGTTGTGGCAGTTTGGGGGCAGGGATTTATTTCAAAGCATCTGCCTTCATCAATTTTGTGCTCTTTGCTTTGTAAATAATGTCATGGAATTTCAAACAGTGCAAACTGGGAGACTCCCTTGTATATCTGTATTCAGTGCAAAAGATGTGAAAGCCATTCATTACATGACTATCAGCCTCCTTCCAGTAGACCAGAAGACCCAAAGCAAGGAAAGGTTAGATGAGAACCACCACTACTCTTAGTGTTCCCCCAGCAAGAGAAAGAGTATCCCTTTAGGCAACTAAACCAGGAAATCCCAAATGGATGGCCTCCCACGAGGATTTGCCTCCAGGGGCAAACCAAGAATGGGCAACTTGGAAGTCCCTGAACAGACTCAGAAGTGGAGTGGGCAGATCAAAAGACAACCTGGCAAAATGGCACTACCTAGAAGAATCCTCCATCTTGTGTGATTGCAGAGCAGAACAAAAAACTTTGCATCTGTATTCTTCCCTACAGCGTCCTGCCTCATACATAGAGGAAGAATTGCTTAATGCTACAGACAATGTGGTCGCTGTTACCCGTTTTTGGTCTAAAATTATTTAACTGCTTGTTTTACTTGTTTTATTTATGCAATGCTTTTGACATGAAATACAAGTGCAAAAGATTTACTTCTCCCCAGCCTTGAAATCGACGGCAAAGCAATACACTGTGCTTTTTAGTCCAGATCCTCATCCAGGACCTACAAGTCTGACAGCAGGATGATCACACAATGAAAATCATTATAGGAGAAAACATAGTTCTTTCTCACAAGTTGGAAAGCCATCCAATTGTACCCATGTGATTTATTGCAGCCTACAAACTAGCTACATATACAAAAGATTAAGATATGGAATCTGAATGTGTCACAGAATTCAGATAATATATACTTTATTATAATGTAATCAAAAAACATAACTTGGAATCTAATCTTAACTGAAACGTATAAAGCCATTGTTTCAGTTTCTACTGTAGAGAAGTTTGTCTCCTACAAATAAAATGCAAGTCTTAGCCACTGAAATGATCTAGGAGAATGGAGAACATGACTTAAAGCCATCATAAATGTGACAAAACAGCAGGAATGTGAGAAATTGCTTCAATTTCTTCGATGCCATGAGGGCATGTATTATGAAAAGGAATTTTCTCACACCAACCTTCAAAAATATTGGGAACAAGCATTACACTATTGCAATATGAGGGCTTTCCTGTATTTCTGAACTTTTAGAGTTTGTTTTTTTTAAAAAAAAAAACCTCATTGATGTGAATAGAAGCAATTTGCAATAGGGAAAAATACAAAATAGTACGAAATTCTGAAAATACATGTTAAGAACAACTGTTTGAGATTCTCTAAATTTAATGAAGGAAAAAATGTCTGAATTATACTCACTTTGTATTCTGTCTGCTACAAGGCTAGGGAAGTTGGCTGACTGTGACCTGTAAGGAAAACTGTTAGGATACAGACACGTTTGGGAGGGGGAGAGAGAGTACAAGCAATTAAGTAAAAATACATTTAAATTAAAATATAATTGGGTTATTGATCCACTATGCTATAAAACAAATTACCTTCATTTCCCTTGCCCCCACCCTTTCCCTTTAGAGAGCTACATTATGTATCATGGCTGTCATGACAACCTTCTCGGGCAGCACTAGAGATATGCTGAATATTATGGAAAAAAACCTTGTCCTTCGTGATGTCACAAGAGGTGTTTGTCAAGGTTGTCATGACAGTGGAGCACATATCTTTAGTAACCATAGAAGTGGGAGAAGGCATTGTTGTCTAAGACAGAAGAAACAAAACTTTCCACTGGGCCATGCTGGTTAAAAATAAATATAGGAACTGGAAACTAAACCATAGTGTAGTCATAGGTTATTGTTATGGGTACATATGGATCCATAAAGTTATGAAAGATGTTCTGAATTGAGAGGTGAATGTGTTAACATGGTAAGTTTGATGTCCTTGAAAATGACTGCATTTCTACTGAAAAATAAGCAACGAGTGCAAAAGCCTGCAATCATTTACAGTAAAGCAGAAGAACTGTTGCATCACAGTACTAAGAACAACTTGACTACTGTATTAGTTTTGCAAAGAGTGACTAGCTTTTTATAAAAAAAAACAGCTACTTAGTCAGCAGACAAACCGTGATGTGGCATAATAGCTGGGCTTTTTACGAGTTTCCTGCATTAAATATTCATATTAAATCTGGGCAGCAGAAGACAGCCTTTTCCCAACCTGGGGACTTCCAGTTATATTTGAATACAATTCTCATCTGACCACCACTCATTTCAGTTTGTGGAGAGGGAATAGCAATAGTCCAAAATATCTGGAGCATACCAGATTGGGGAAAGTTGGCATAAGATGTTACACAGCCATTCTTTTAAAGAAAGCACAACACCAATGTCTAATTTGAGTTTAGGATTTGGCTCTGACAAAACATTTAATAAAACTGTTCAGCATAGGGATACCTGGAGAACAGAGGTTCTAAAATCATCTGTGAAGGGCCAACCAGCTTTCACATGTCGAAGTTTAGAAAGAAAGGACTTCAAGGTTGACCTATGCCCCACCATGTTTCATTTCTGAAATGTAGCTTTGCATAATATATGAAGGGTTTCTCCCCACAATAGTCATGTCCAAACCATGCAATCCATTTGCGCTGATGACCTAAGTCCATATTGAGCCACATCCTGTCACCAACACATACATAGCTGACCACAAGATTTGCTTAAGCTTCTGCCTTTTTGACCATCAGACAAACAATTTCACATTTCTTGCATTTCCAGGTCTTAGCCCAAAATATGACAACAGCTGCCATGATATCAAATTAGTAAGGGAGGGATGATGTTGACATTTTTTTATGGTGAAGTGTCAAAGCTGGTCTTGATTATTTAAGCTCTTTGTGAATTGTGTGTGTGTGTGTGTAGGGTTGGGCTTAAGATCTCCCTAAAAGAATGGAGGAGTCTACTCACAGAATGAGTCTACTCACAGAATGATACCTGTCTATCTTTGTCACACATGCACACCTGTGCTCATTGTGGCTTACTCTCACCTGGGTTCTCTGTCTCCTGTGTAACATTCTCCTGAAAATGTTACTCTGATTCTGTAAGTTCTGTTGCATGTACCCACATCTCAATCCTCTAGTCAGGTCAGCATCCTGTTAATGACTTTTTCCAGCATAAGTTCACTTTATGGCCAAGTATGTCTTTTTTTTCCATTGTGAATATTTGTATTCTGTTCCACATTCCATACCAATCAAAGAATTCCCAGGATTCATGTTTTTTTTCTGAAATAGACCCCCTGAAGTTGGCTATTTAATCTCTGACAAGGAATACAGGGGATTGAAGAAACATGTGGTTATTTCCCATCGCCAAATGCAGAATGATTACATCATTGGCTGAGACATTTGGAGGATCTTGGTGGAACTTAAGAAAAGGTGGTATTGGTCTGCATCTGCCCATGGATCATAGCCAAAACTTCCAAAACTCCTACCTCATCAGTCATGGAACAACTGTTCAGCAGGGCTATTGCAATCAAACCATGGGTCATGAAGGTAATAAGCGAGACACAAGAGAGCTCCACCTGAAAAATTCTTACACTATACAGAGCAAAATAGGATCTCAGTCACAGTCTACATGAGGGAAGGCTCCAATGGCCCCAGATCATTTTGGATTGTAGTAATGATAACATGGTCTGAGAAACATTATAGCCCCCCAAACGATGTGGAAGGTCATGGTTTCTTACCCCTAAGCAAATTATCTAATGTAGATTTTTGTTACATAATTGGAACTTTCACCAAGCTCCTATATTGTCAGATGTTGCTACAACAGTGGAACTCCATCATTATGGATGCTCCTACCAATGTCAACCCCCACCCCCAGCCCAGCCAACCTCCTAAGCACGATAACAACTCATTGAAAGGATGCCAAGGCAATATAGATCGGGACATTAGGAAACTATGACCACAGTGCTGTCTCAGTCATGGGGCATATTGAGAGACAACTGGGATCATACAAAACAAGTGTTTTTG